CAAAATACGCTTCCTCATACACGTGCGCTAACGTGTAAGCCGAAGTAGTGGGCACACAGTGAGCCCATTACAGGCACAAACTGCACCTGCGTACAGCATTTACGCAGTGCCGCTCCCACCGAAGCCATTCTATGAACTTTAAGACTATCAAGAATGAGCAGTCGGCATCCATCAACGCTTGGCTGCCAAACTTATCAAAACAAGGTAAAATGTTCATCAATTTTTTTTAATAAAAACAAAAAATAACATTATAAACTTACCCGCTCAATCCATTGCATCATCACTTGTTCGTTGAAAAATACTTTTTTTGAACGATATGCTCCGCCTGAGGAGATCCAAAGGCCGGATCCCACACTTCTTGAGAGACTGGGCCTCCGGGTACCCCAGTGAAAACTATCAATGGAGCGAGTTTGGCTCCTGTGGCCGACGCAGCAAGAAAAACCTATGCTCTGAATTTGATTTCGCTCCCTACTCAAAAAAAAAAAAATAGATTAATGCTAAATTAAAAAAAAAACTAGCAGTATTTGTACCTCGCGGCACGTCAATTGTGTGATTTCCAGTGAAATCTATAGTCGTTTTGCTGGCCATATCGATGTAAATGGCTGTTTGGTCCATATTATTTATGACGGCGAGCTTGCCGTCTCCAGGCTCGGATGCCAGAATGCCATCTTCTTCAATTACGTGCTGGATAGACTGCGAAAACACATTGCCAACAAGCTAAACTTTGCAATTAAAATAAGTTCGGTAGGAAACAATATGCACAGTAGAGAATTATTGTTTTATCTCCATGTCAGGGCGCTTCTTTCTGCCCTTGTGAGTAATTCGGCGAACCGTAAGGCGGTTGCGCTTGAGAAAGCGCTTTAGAAACGCTAGATTTCCGAGCCGAGTGCGAGATTTAGCTCGCTCAGGATCGTAACGAGCAAGCATAATCAGCATGCACGCCATTGATACACACAAGTAACGTTTTTTTCGCATTTCCACGATCCAAGCAGTCTAAGCATTGTACTAAGGTCAGCATAGTCATAAAATTTAATAAAAATAAAAAAATACTTTTTCTCTAGGTTGGGGTTCCGAACATACATTTTGTAGTTCGGGAAGTGTAGAAATTGGTAGGCGTGTTATGCACAGCCATTTTGACGGTGGCTTCTTGTTTCTTCCAGCGGTGCCACGTTGATCGATTTACGCCCACGGCCGCTGCAGCAGCGACCACGATCTTCGCTCCGCGATCGAGAGCCTTGAGTTTAGCTTTGTTAGTGGTTTTTTGGCCGGCGAAACATTACCAAACAAAAAGTGGGGACGGCTGGCATTGAGGACTCGGCTGTGAGTGGATGGCGGTGAACAGGTTAGACTTTTTACCACTCGTACATATATGAGCCGTTTTATGAAATTAATATTGATTGAGAACATTTGTCTTACTGAATCCGGACTTTACGGTAAATATCAAATCACTACTTGAGATGTCTACGACGAAAAACCTGTGTCAAATTCTATATCCTTCTATAGATGATAAAGAAACTAGGATTTCTTCTGGACCAGCGAGGAAAACCGTGTGG